AGTATCCTTTCAAAAATATCCATTCATCTAAGACCTTGCAAAGGAATATTTTAATAAACGATTGCGATGAAGTACATTACTGATGACACGGCCTTCATAGTAAACTCGAAGTGAATAGTGCGATCAGATATTTGAGAGAGCCCTTTCAGTTGAGAAGGGGAACAGGTAAATAACCTACGGGGCACCAGGCCATTAAATGTACTAGACAATGCGTTGCCTGTTATTCTATTCTGATTCTAATTCCGATCATAATGGAGTGTAACGTGTAAAAACTCATAATAAACGTTGATTTATGTTTAACTCATTCAAGTCAGGGGCACTGATCATTGGAAACTCTACAAMTGGCAATGTCATGTACAGAGGTACTCAGAGGTAGAGAAAAGACCTCACTTAACTGATGCAGAGAACGACTGAGATTTCAAGGGCTAATTCCGGGGAGGGGAGAAGGGGGAGTTCCCGTCCCCCTCTCTTCTCACTTTAGTCCTCTGCTCTAGATTCCTTAATGTTCTAATTTCTTCAAAGACGATAATGAAAAAAATCAAAATAAAACCGTACATAATTATTTATTGCGTTTTTTTGACACACACGTCGCAATATTGGGAATCTCGATCCTGAAAAGTTCACGAATATTGTTAGTGTTTTTAAAATATATCTGGATCAGTAATTTTCCCCTCTCACTGTAGAGGGTCTCAATGGGGTGGTACGYATCACGACTCACGGCTAGAAATTTGGCGATTTCACGACTCACGACTAATTTTTTCGAATCACGGTTAACTAGATTACTTTTAGCCTGATTTTCAGACGGRGCCTGGGTCCTACGCTTCTCTCCGCGTAGGACCCAGKCCCCGTCTGAAAATCAGGYTAGATTACTTTTAGAAATTTTTGAATTACGTTTTTCATTGCTTTTTCTTTTTTCGTATGAATAGACTGCGTGACTTATTCGTACGGACATGGATTTTTCTATTTCAAATAAGCCGAAATGAGACTATTTCCACGAAAAAATGATTAATCATAAATTCATAATACACAAAAAAATCCAAAAAGTGTTAAACATAATAGGTATTG